TTGTGAGGGATTTTTGGGCAACTGGGTTCCAACGAACCCAGGAACCAAGCTGGGTTCGATGGAACCCATTTGCTGGGTTACATCGAACCCAGATCTACTAGGTTTCGTTGAATCTAGCTCCATTTTTTTTTTTGTTATATGTTTGTTTGCCAATAAATTATCCAAATTGCAGGTTGTTGTGAGCGATTTTTGAGATTTTTTTCTTCATATTTTTTAAGTATTGTCTAAATGATTTCAATCTTAAAAATGGAAAGAAAATCATTGATGTAAAGAACAGAAGCAGTAACTGATGGGCAAAGAAGCAATTCTTAGTGGTGATGTGGGACCCATTTAGGCGGATTTGGCACGTTTTGGCCACGGTAACATGACATGTGGCAAAAGTTTTGTCTATATCATCACTTTTTTAAATTTTGCTCTTCACATTATCAAAAAAAATATAAAAAATGCCACAAGGGCAAAGTTAACGGCTCAAATTAATAGAAGGACTAACGGTGTGCATTTCTTATAGTTGAAGGATCAAAAAAGTGCAAAAAATTGTTGAGGGATAAAAAATGTGCATTTTTTAAAGTTGAGGGACCAAATTTAACATTTAACCAATTTGAAATTATGCTGCTGCACTCTCTCCACACACTGATGGTGATGGAGCCTCCATCATGACTTCCGTTCATCACCAACTCTACTGCTGCTCACTCATTCTCTTGTGTTTTATAATAGAGAAAGCCTTTTGCAATCCTACCTGATTTGGACTGAAAAAATTAGTCAATAATTTTAAAGGAGGAAGAGGCCCTATATTTACGAGTCCTCCTTTATTAATGATTATAGTTGTATAGCCTGTATCAAATCAGATTGTTAATAGTCTTTTTGTTCAAAAATCAATGTCGTTTGACTTCTTACAAGTAATTTTAGATGATAATTTTATAAGGAAAAAATGCTTTTATTTTTAAAGTATGAATTAGACTATTTTAGGTTTTTTTTTTTGGTAATATTTTATTAAAATGATGTAGTTTTAAAATAAATTTTTAATATTTAAGAATTAAAACGAATAAACACTAATATCATTTTATAACATATGTATAAAAATTAAAATTTAATTTATATAGCAAGTATCACCTAAAATTAAGTGCAAATAAGTTAAACATCACTTATTATGAAACAAGAGAATACTTATAGATTAATTTTTATTAATTTTTAAAATTTTTATGGTTGCTTCAACATTTTTTTTTTTGCTTCTTGGGTTACGCAATAAAAATAATCTTTTTCTATTTTATAATCTATCTCATTCATTTATCATATGATTTAAATTTAAAAAATCTTATTTTTACTAAAAAAAATATTACCACTGCGTTAGTAGAAAAGGAGAGATGGTTGGCAAACACGGCCTTTGGGCCTAGCCATTGTCGACTTATACTTCAACACTTCTGCACAACCTTTAGACTTACATCTGGGATTTCAATGTAAGAATCTTTGCCTTGCTTTTCTCATATTGTATTATTGCAAAAATTATGTTAATATTTTATACTTTAATATTTAATAATTATTTCGAAAAGATGTTATACTTCTTTATAAAGTAAAATATACAAAATACATTAATTACAATAAACTTAATTATAACAAATTAAGCATTGTGGAAAGCAATCTTCAACACAATAACATTGATTAGAGTGTTTAGAAAATATCAATATATAAATTAATTTCAAATTAATATCGATTTATAAAATTTATGTGGTGTTTAGTTTAATTAATTTTATTAATTTATAGCTTTTTTTCCCTCTTAAACAGTTGATTAGAGTGTTTAGAAAATATCAATATATAAATTAATTTCAAATTAATATCAACTATTTTATAACTATAAACTAGCAACTTATCAGTTGTTCTTAAGAGTTGTTAATAAGAGCCAAACGAAACATAGCTCCACTCTCATTTTTCAATTTGATTGATTAATTAATCAAGGATACAAAGCAATTTCACTTTAATGGAGTTTCCTTCAGCCAATGCGACTTTGAATCTTTGATCATGTGGTCAAGTAATCATGGTGGGTGTGGTTATAACCACCCATTAATTTGTTAAGATCATATAATATTATTTAAAAAATATTAATTTTGTTTTGTTTAATTATTAAAAATAACTGATGATTAATTGAATAATTAATTTTTATTACTTAATAAATTACAATGAATTTATAAATTGATAGTTTTAGATATAATAACAAACTGTTTAAAAAAAAGCTACAAATAGCAATCAAATTTAACAGAATTTGTCTAGCCTTGTCAAAGTATTGTACAACCATATTCACACCCAACAATTTTAAGGTCCTCAACTTTGGTATAGATTCCCAATTTAGTCCCTAAACTAAATAAATTATTGTTTTGGTCCTAAAGTTTTAATTTTCAGCTCCTTTTTTGTCCCAAAACAAGAGTTTAGTTGTCCGAGGACCAAATTATGAGCCCATACAAAAGCTTAGAGGCCAAAATTGGAGTTTAACTTAATGGCACTTTTATGATTAAACAAGTTTTTAAGGCCAATATGGACCTTAAATTTGTCCACAATCATCTTTTGCAATGTGAAATTTCCATGTTATCAAGTTGACATAAAAACCTGGTTTTTTTTTTTAAATTTTTTTTTATTAATGTGTCATGTAAGCTAAATTTTAATAAAAAGACCAAACAAGAGATGGAATTTAAAACTTTATAGACTAAAATAAGGATTTATTTAGTTTAGGCACTAAATCAAGAATCTATACTAGAATTGAGGAATCAAAATTGAGGTTTAATCTTAAAGAAGAGCTTCTATGGACGTATGGGAAGAAAAAAAAATTAAACTTCATCTTTAGTGGTGTTAGCAAACATAAGTATGAGTCTCAATATAATTTAAAATGTGACTATTCAATTTTAAATTACTTGACAATGCATAGAGTGATCCATATATATTATTTGAGTTAGGATTTATTTTCATGTATGGTTTAAACTCTCTAGTTGCTAAGGTTCCTAGAGGTTGTGGGAGAGTAGCCTTTCGTACTTTCACATGGGGATTCATTGGTTTGTCTCATCCTCTCCCTTACCAGATTGTTCTAATAGAGGGTAGGAGGTTGAGAGTTGTGAAGGGTTGGTGGGGATGTGGGCAGTGAGCAAGTTTTGTTGTTTGAGGGGTTGCTTGTTGTCAGCAAGGTGGTGTGTGCCAAAGGTGAGGGTGTTTAGGTTTGTTGCTTGTTGGGTGAAGGATTGTGGCGTGGTGTGGTGCAAAAGAGGGTGTCATTAGTGGTGAATGATGAGACCTTTGTAGGCAACAAAGGATTCCTTTGGTTAATTGCTTGCAGCAATGATTAAATAGGGACTCTAGTTAATTCCTTTGCTTGTGATAATGATTAATTCCTTTGCTTGTGGTAGTGATCGAAGTTCAACAACTTGGCAATAAAATGGAATTTTTTTGACAATATGATGCAAGTTTGAATTGGAGAAGCCTTGATATGTTGGGGTTATCTAGTTCATGGTAGAAAGTTGGAATGGTGGGTGGTTTTTTTGAGGAGGATTGATTTGTATCCTATGTGAAGGACTGCATAAGGATAGATTTAGTGTTGGATGGCTCCAAGGTTTTGAGGCTTGAGTGGAGGTGGAGTCTAAGAATTGTATGACTTATCAATTCTTCGGATGCGTTTCTTTTGTAATGGATCAAGATGCTATTGGTTTTTTGTAGCACATGGGGTATTTGAAATATGAAAGATGTATTGTTGGAGTTCAAGCATCACATTGTAGCGAAACAAAGAAGTTTGATTTAGGGTTTTTGTTTAAAATTTTCTATGGAATGGAGTTTATTACCACAATTTGGACTTCTACTATGAGGGGTTCATATCATGTTAAGGTACCTTAGTGTCAGATATGTTATGATAGTGTAATTAATGCTCAAGAGGTATAGGAATAGATGTGTTTTTATGTATTTTTATTAGTTATCCTGTTTTAATTTTTTATTTAGTATATCTAATAATAATGGTTTATATAAAAGGGGATCGTCTTCTCTTTTTCCTAAATCCCTCCCCACTCGACTTAAGTTTAAAACTTTAGATCTTCAACTTAGAATTTCAAATTCTTAACTATTAAGTCACCGCTTGGGGGTATTATCCTGTTTTACTATTTATATAATTTAGACTACTTTAGATTTTGGAGAATTTATTTATTGTAGTATGAGAGAATTATAGAATATTAAATTGTAATTGCTTTACCTTTTATCAATACAATATCAATAATTTTTCTTGAAAAAAAAATATTAATCATTTATTTTTTTATTATGAATAATTAAGATTGATTTGCTTTATATTTAAATTTTTTAAAATAATTATTTTTTTATTTAAAAATTATTTAATAAGTCCTAACTCATTATTTATAGAGAAAAGTATTTTAAAGTCATTATCCTAAATAAAAAACTCATTTCTTAATTAGTATTTAAAAAAATGAATAGTTGAATTGAAAGTTTTATTCATATTAAATAAAAAATTTTATTCATATAAATCATATATGTCAATTTT